GCATCCCTGCTGGGATGCGGCAAAAAGCGCGTTTGGCCCGGAGTCCCAGTGGTGTTCCGGACGGGTTTTGTGGCGTTTGGTCACAGATCCGAAGGCCTGGGATGGGCCAGGGTCCATGGCCCTTGTGAGGGGGAAGGAAACGAACCGAATCCAAAGATGGCGAGCTGATCCATCTCACTGAGACACATGGGCAAAAGCCAAGAACAGGGAGTTCACTTGGTCCCGAACAGAAACAGTTCCTTTTTGGTGATCGGGTAGTGAGACGGGCGAACCATGGAGTGAGGAGAAAAAGAAGTCGTGGACCAGGGCGACCAACTTCCTTCTTCAGTAACTGTTTGACTCAGAAGTCGTGCGCCCCCAAAATCCGAAAGAAGATGAGCGGGATGGTTTACCATCTCTCCAAGCAAGGAAGTGGGTTGTGGCCAGACTCTTTTCCTCTACAAACAGGAGGTTTGCCCGGTTTGCCCTACTTCTAGGATCATTGGAGGGAGGGTCCTGCTGTTGGCAGCCCCCCAAATTGGGGAGCGGCCTCCATCCATCCCCTCCATCCCCGTCCGCATCGCTCCAGCCCTTCGCGGGACACGCCCTCTGAGGATGGATCCCAATGAGACCAACGAGCTGTCCATGGCCAACTCCCGCTTCAACATCAGGAATCCGACTCATTGGTGGTTTTGACTGACACAGGGTGGTTTTGACTCCAAACCATGGTCGTACGACTGGTATTCTTCAAATGGGCCGGCATGAGTACAGGGAATGAGTTGTACTTGGTTTTTGGGAATTGATCGTTGGAACCTCGCTCTGAAGTATGAACTAGGCAGAAGCGGAGTCCAAAAGATGCGACTTGGAGTCGGAGGCTTCTTCAATTCCTATATACTAGTATGACCATAATGCAGAACCAATGATGGAGTCCCACGGTGTTTCACCTCACCTTTGAACGCTTCCCATCATGGTTCAATCTCCTGAATGATCAGATCCGGGATGCCTTGAACTTGTGGATAGACTGCCCCGATCCGATGCTGTGATCCTCTCCTGGAAATGGATGGAGTCTCACAGTGCTGGTGCCAGCTGTTTTTTTTTCAACACACCAGTGGGCAATGAAAGCACTTAGTGCGGACCACCCAGTGGATCATAGCTCCTGTCGGACACTTCCCTCCAAGCTGATGCCTCATTGCTGGGGTCATCACACGGGGACCCAACCAAAGCACAGTAGCTACTGGTAGCTAGGGCATTACTACTAGTAGCAAGGTTGCTACTAGGTTGTTGCTGCTAGGTTGGAGGCCATCGCTATTAGGGTGGAAGCTATTAGGTTCCAGGCTCTCTGCACCTGATCCAGAAAGCCACAGAGTGCGAGCCCTCCTTCGCCACCATGCAGCACTCGGTGGGTTCCCGAACGTGAGCGTTCTCGGATGGTTCCCGCTGGGCAGGAAGCTCATCAAGGATGGTTTGATCATTCGTAAGGCCGGGCTAGGGAGTCAGGTCACAGGGCGTCAGAGCCACGCCACAGACGTGTTGAAACAACCAGGACCCACAAAAAGAGACTCACTCATTATACAATGGATGAGTCAAGAAGTGAAAGATCCGCTACTGTCAAGAGCACCTTTTTGGCCACCAAGCTCGTAAGCAGGTCTGGAAGACATGTCAATAAGACAGAAGACAATAAAAACAACATGAAGAAACGAAAAGGAATGTTACTAAGTCACGAAAGGTAGCTTGAGCTACCTGAGTTCTCCTTGCTTTAGCAAAAATGTATTACAATCAGGAGTTGGGATTGTGCATTGAATTTGGTCCTGTAAGAGTTGATTCTGTTCGTCGGGGGGGGGGGGGCCCCCCCCCCCGGATCAAATCCCCCCTGCGCCGGTTCACGCCGTCGTGGACTTCTACCAGGGTTACTTGTGATTGCCTGCTACCTTTCGTTCACCCCCTCCTCTCTCAAGTTACTAGTAGCGTCCTTGCTACTAGATGCCCGGGTTCCTACTACCAGCGATGCCGGGAGCCACTAGTAGCTTCTTGTTCCAGGTAGCGATGGCCTCCAACCTACTTGCGATGGCCTCCACCTAATAGCATCCTTGCTTCTTGTTTCAATGGAACAACTTGTGTTTGTTTCCGATGAAGTCATCCGTCGGCTTTTAAGAGTACGACCCGGCACCACGATCCTTGCAGGCAGTGACCATGCACTCTCGATCCCGCGTGCGAAAGAATTTGGAAGCCAAGCGCAAGGGCCGCCACATGGGCACTGGCAAGCGCAAGGGTACTCGTGAGGCTCGTATGCCAACCAAGGTCTTGTGGATGCGCCGTCAGCGCGTGCTCCGCCGTCTCCTCCGAAAGTACCGCCAACAGAAGAAGATTGACAAGCAGCTCTACCACTTCTTCTACCGCCATGCCAAGGGTAACTGCTACAAGAACAAGCGAGTCCTGATGGAGGCTATCCATGCCAAGAAGACTGAGAAGATGAAGGAGAAGGCCCTGCAGGAACAGTCTGAGGCCCGCAAGGAGAAGGCTCGCATCGCCAAGGAGAAGAAGCTCCAGCAGCTTGCCTGGAAAGTTCTTTCCGGAGCGATAGTCATCATTTCGAAGAACAAAGGCCAACAAGCCATCATTCCATTGCTTTTTGGCATCCAAACACCTCAAGCTGGTGTTGGGCTAAGGGAAGATCTTTTTTTGGTGAGGCAATTGGAGTACTTTGGATGATTGAGTGTGTTACAGTATATCAAATAGGATCAAATAGGTTTCTGTGGAACCTCTCATCCAACGTTGCAAGTTTCACCCCAATTCCGAATTCCAGTGATCTCCTCATGAACTGTGATGTCCTCCTTCAACATCTTCAACACACTTAACCTAACCAGCATGAGCATTCTTTGGCCCAGCCTTGCCTCCCTCGAGCCTCGCCCAGGAAGAAGGCGGATGCGGCGAGGACCGAAGAGGAGGGTGGCTGGCAGCAGCAGAAGAAGCGCTAAGTGCAGCGCTTCCGGCGACCAGGCCGTCTGCAGTTTTGATGTTCTCCGGGTGGGGAAAGGGTTGCCTCAATCACCATAAGTTGCAGGACCATCTAAGGGGTCAACATCTAGGACTGGACAATTGAGGACCATCCCTGGTAGAACTCCACCGCTCTACCCAGACGAGGTGATTCGTGGCGCGCGGCATTGTGAGACGATCGAGCCAAACCGAGCCGAACGAAGCAGTGGCGATGGAGAAAAATATCTGGAGCGAATTGGAGGGCGCCGAGCAGTGGTGTGTGAGGGATGATGGACGAATGGCAACACCTCAGTTTCTTATGACTCACTGACTTACAGTATACTTATTCACAATCCCCAAGAAAAACAGTCCTTTTTTTTCGGAGAACGTTGACCTCAGATGGCATTGATCTCGGGAGTTCGAGATCTACCTTTCCTACCAACTAATCTGGGGCAGAAGGTCCAGCAGACCAGTGCAAGCGCTGCATGTGAAGTGCTGTAGGATTTGCAGAGGGTGAGGGTGTTCCTTTTTCTTTTGGGAGTGTGATTCACTCGGAAGAGAAGGCTGGCCATTCAGTTTGTTTCCTCTCTTGTGGCTGTCATACTTGTCAATTTGCCCCAAAATGAACACGATAGCAACCCACGGAGGGGTTGAAAGATGATTTTGCTTTAGGATGCCCAAGGTTGACCTAGCTAGTGCAAAGTGGGCTAGGCTATGACCCTGAGTTAGCAGAGAAATGGCGAAACATTGTCCAAGACCGACTTGCCCAATCCGCAGGGCATATTGGCTCAGCCCAGTGACACAGTAAAACTGGTGAGAGTGAGGGTCGGTCGGGGATGTCCTTAAAACTCCAGAAGCGGCTCGCCGCATCCCTTCTGGGATGCGGCAAGAAGCGCGTGTGGCAGGGAGTCCCAGGTGTCCCGCCACAAGACCGTAGACGGTGGGATTGGATTCGGAGAGGTTCGCAAGATGCTAACAGAGGTTGAAGAACCAGACTATTCCAGTTTGGTACCCCAGTGAGGTCCATTAAGGTCCTATTTACGGTCACTTAACCTCTCTTGGTGAAGATGCGGGGTCATGCCCAGATGGATGATGTTTGGAAAGAAGGAAGGCCATGGGGCTCCTCTCACTCCCTGGCTTCCCGTTGAGCGTCGTTAGGATGGACCCCAATGAGACCAACGAGCTGTCCATGGCCAACTCTCGCTTCAACATCAGGAGCGAACCGCTGGGAGGGGTGGGGGCAAGTGAACATAGTGAACTGGGCGATGACTCCGAGATGGAACTGCTGTGGAGTTCCGAGGCAAGAAGAACACCAGTCTTCCGTTGTTTCTGGGCATCGTGGAGGAAATGAGTTTTGCCAAGGATCCGTGTCCACTTTTCAGGAACAATGGGAATCACTTCTATCGTTTTACATGAAAGCAGAAAATTTCTGGAGCTATTTTGTTGGTTGCCGGATGTGGTCCATCAAAAGAAACCACAAAAGACATTAATAAACACGCAGTGTCTACTCTAGGAAACAATTTACCAGGCAGAAGCTTGGAGATTTGAGCAGATTGGGTGGAGCGAATGATTCTGGCAGTGATCACCCCAGGTTTACCGAAAGATGCGTGGCGAAACCTGGGAGGAACTCCTCCCATCATTTTGGGAGATGTGGGATACCAGACTTCACGAATTCCTTTGGCCCTACCTGGTCCATGTCTTTCTTCCGTTTATATAGTATTATAGTAATGCCCCGAGCCCCCAGCCTACCTGGTCCAGCCTACCTGGTCCCCCCCCCCAAGGTAGGGTGTATTTATAGTATGTTGAGAACATCAGCAGTGATTAGGACAAGCCAATGTCGGTGGCTTCCTGGAGTTGCTAGAAAGCTTGTTCACGGAGTATCACGTTGGCTAGGAAGCTGATCAAGGATGGCTTGATCATCCGCAAGGCAAGCCGGGTGGAAGAAGAGTGTAAGAAGAAGCCGAACCAAAGAAACCAAAATTGCTTCGGGGGTTCTAGAACTCATTGCTTGTAACAAGTTGGCTGGGCACTTGAAGTCAGGATGTCTTTTTATTCGACCGAGCAGGGCCGGCGGTTTCGAACGAAACCAAAGGCATGGAAGAACCGAAAAGAAATGTTACTAGTAGCGTCCTTGCTACTAGTAGCGATGCGCGGGTTCCTAGTAACGATGCCAGGAGCTACTAGTAGCTTCTTGTTCCTAGTAGCGATGGCCTCCACCTAATAGCGTCCTTGCTTCTTGTTTCAATGGAACAATTTGTGTTTGTTTCCGATGAAGTCATCCGTCGGCTTGCTTTAAGAGTACGACCCGGCACCACGATCCTTGCAGGCAGTGACCATGCACTCTCGATCCCGCGTGCGAAAGAATTTGGAAGCCAAGCGCAAGGGCCGCCACATGGGCACTGGCAAGCGCAAGGGTACTCGTGAGGCTCGTATGCCAACCAAGGTCTTGTGGATGCGCCGTCAGCGCGTGCTCCGCCGTCTCCTCCGAAAGTACCGCCAACAGAAGAAGATTGACAAGCAGCTCTACCACTTCTTCTACCGCCATGCCAAGGGTAACTGCTACAAGAACAAGCGAGTCCTGATGGAGGCTATCCATGCCAAGAAGACTGAGAAGATGAAGGAGAAGGCCCTGCAGGAACAGTCTGAGGCCCGCAAGGAGAAGGCTCGCATCGCCAAGGAGAAGAAGCTCCAGATACCTGGCTGTGAGTGGCTGTTGGAGTCAAACTGATGTTCATGTCATCACCCTTCAGTCATGGGATACCCTCCATCCAATAATGGTGGAAGCAGACCACGCCCACGATTTACAGTATACAGAAGAACATGATCTTCCAGGCGTCCATGTTCCACTTCATGATTGGCCTGGCAACGTTTCCAGCATCAATCCAAGTTGATCCCAAAGTCTGTTCAAAGAGAAACGGGCGTGATCAGACTAAGTAAACGTCCAAAAGACCCTCAACTAATGAACTTATCTCACTCCAAAAAGCAAAAACATAATACCCAATATATAATATCAACTTATATTGGAGTGAGATAAGAATACCAACTTCTCCTTATCTCACTCCAACAATCATCTCATGAGTTCGAACGAAGCGTCTTCAGAACTTGGGCGAACACCCCCAAATCGACCACCCGTGTTTTTTTTTTCCGACCGGTCGCCCAGGAAGAAGGCGGATGCTGCACGCACGGAAGAGGACGGCGGCTGGCAGCAGCAGAAGAAGCGCTGAGAAGGTGGAGGTGGGAGCTCTGTGGTGTCATCCTTTTTGGGTGCTGGGTGTGGTAGCGGTGTGGTGCCGCCGCTGGTTGTATGTTCTTTTGGGCCATGGCTATGGCAGTGGTGATGGCGGCATGCCGGTGGAGGAGGTGAACACTGGCTGTTTTGGTCTCGGTCCGGACACGGTGGATGCTGTAGTAGAGCTGCTAAAGATCGGAGCCGACTCTGAAGGGTAGCCCTGGTTTGTCCTGGCATTATCTGGCTTCCTCATGTTTCATGGGTAGGCGGTAGGCTGGTCATGGTAAACGGGCTCTCATCCCTGAAGTGAACCTCCAACTAGCCTCGCTTGCACTTGACAGGTTCGCTTGCAGAGAGAACCGATGACTTGCTTCCTGAGAGCACGACCTGAGCCAGTGAAAATGCGGAGAAAAAAGCCACATTAAGAGCTGTGCTTCAGTCCATGTTGGATGGTCTTTTGCACGAGGATGTTCCGCCTAGAAGCTGTACCCCGGTGTGGATCCTTTTGCCGCGGAAGCGACCCCATGGTTGGGCGGCTGAGTGTCGCTGTCCGCCTCTTGCAATGTGTCTCTCCTTCTTTCGTCTTGGGAGCATTGGAAGCGCACCCAGGCATTCCGGTTCAACCAGTGGAGCCGAACGCGTCAATGCCTCCGACCAACGTGTTGTCCACCGCGCCACGCGTTGCACAGCCCACCCCGAACCGGCGAGCCACGGTGGGCCGCGCTGAAACCGCGCTTCCTGGACCAGCGACTCCCCAACGCCCCCCCCCCCATCACCGGACGCCGTCGGTGCGGCGGAGCGACCTGGGCCAACTGCTGCGCGTGTCTGGAGCCGCCAGATGCCCTGTGAAGAGACCCCGCCCGGACGGGGGCGGATGCCGGACGCCTTCGCCGAGGAGGTGCCCCTTATGACCTCGCCGGATCGTTGGGGGTGGCTTGGGTGATCCGGAAGGTTTGTGGGGTGGTTCGCCGATCCGCGGCCGGTTGAAAGAGTTCGACTGCGAAGTAGGTAACTACCTGGACCATCCAAGGGGTGCCCTGTCTGGAAGCCTATGGGGTAGTCCAGCCAGGACACCCCTTGGATGGTCCTGGTATCCGACAGGGAGCGCCGGCCTGTTGCCCCCAACGGGCAGGGTGTTTTGTTATCACGAAAGCTAGCCTTAGCTAGCTGGAGTTGCTCTTGCTTTAGCAAGTTAAGTGACGGGGTGGACGCACCTCAGAAACCTCAAATAATTGATTAAATCAATCTTGTGGACCCCCCCCCCCCCCCCCCG